TGCTAATGAGATAATTATTATTTTAGCGTGATAATGTTTCTCAGGCATAAAAGGTTATGTTCTTATGAATAATCTACTTTAATTAATTTATTTATATTTTATTTTAATTTTCTGAGTTTATTCTTATGGAACATGTATTTATTCGTGTGTTGAATTGAATTTATATTGCATAAAAGATCTCATAAAGCTTGTAATATTCATTTACGATCAATTTTAGTAATTCTGGGGAATTTTAACAAGCAATTGTCCAAAAGTTTATAGTGTGATTCATGTAAATGGGGCTTAAGCTTGAAAGGGTACCTTAAGGCAGCCATGTTCTCTAGGCTTATGTCTACTGCTTTAAGAACGCGTATTCACGTCAGCTGAGTGTTTGTTGTGACAGCTATTTTAAAGAATAATTGTTATATTATAATGTTGTTTTCAGATGCTGGGGACTTCTAGCAATGAAGATGGAAAATCGAAAAATTTATGCGGGTGGAATATAGCGGTGATTATACCGTCAGACGTGACAGCGTTGAAAACAATTCTCAGTCTCGTGGTAGTACTGCTTTCTTTAATAACATAATGATGTGGTAGGTATACGCATGGCCATTCATCACTTACGGGTTCTTGAAGCTCTCGCATATGTCCCAACCTCTGGTACTCCCGCATGAATTCTACATATTCCCTTGTGAATTGTGGTTGTCGTTTGAGTCTCCTCTCCAAGCTGTACAGTTGTTGCACCGCAATCTCTTTGGATTCACCCAAATTCTTCAATACATCCATCTTGATCGGCAATGTTACCACAAATCTGCCTTCACTGTCTCTCTTGTGGGTTTGCATGAAGTGATTCTCGAATGCACGCTCCTCCGGGGTTCGCGTTGCTATCCTTTCACAGCTTTCAAGTTGCCAAAATTTCATAAGACTTGCGTTCAATTGATCGTTTATACTCATGTTGCATACTGTAGACTTCATGTATTGATCTCCTGTTATGCAGTTTCCTGAGGCAATCCAACCAAGAACTGTTTTTTGCCAAGTTGGCTGATTTTCAGTTACCTTTATTCTGCCGATACATAATAAATCGAAAAATATCTCCGCTCCTATCAGCAAATCTATCTTCGAGGTTTGGTTGAATTGTGGATCAGCTAATGTAATTCCGCGTGGTATTCTTATGTCACTCTTGCTTATTTCATTGATAGGAAGTCGCTGCGTAATCGTGTCCACCACCAGACAATCTAACTGCTTCCTATAACCCGTGGTTCTGGATTGTATGATAATCTTCACTAGACTTCTGGTTGATACGGCTTGTCCTCCCAATTCACAAATCGGCATGTTAGTGGATTGACGTTTGACTCCAAGTTCCGTGCAACAATCTTCCGTGATGAAGCAAGATTGAGATCCGCTGTCAAGAAGTGCACGAATTGATTTCGTTTCTCCTTTGGTATTTGGCACATTTACCAGTGCAGTTGCCAATAAAACTTGTCCTTGATTTATGGCTGCGTGATTTACCGTTGCGGGACTCGTGCTCTCTTTATTCTCAGATTTCTCCGTTTTAGGCTCAGAATTCGAATTATTTTTTGAAGCTTGCTCAAAATGCAGTAGTGTATTATGACGCTTGCTGCACTTACGACATGTTCCTGCTAGACACTCCTTGGCTTGATGTGACGCGCATTTCAAGCAATTTAAACATAATTTACGTGTCCTTGCTTTCTTCACTTTTTGATCTATGTTTAGTGCCAAAAACTCCTTGCACTTGTATATAGCATGATTCTCTTGTTGACAGAATGCGCATGTATTTTTAGTGGTCGCCACATTAGCTGTCGTACTTTTATTATGAAGCGTTTTTTCTTGAGAACTTGTTGATTTCGGCGAACGGGCTGTTGCTTCTAATGCTCTACAACGTTGATTTAAAAAATTAATTAATTCTTCAAATGATGGTATCCTACCTCGTACTACCGTAGTTTCCCATTCTCGATATGTCGATTGATCCAATCTGCTGGTCACCAAATGTATCATTAAGTCGTCCCAATTATTTGAAGGTCTTTTGAGAGCTTTGAGAGCGCGGATATGCTTTAGTACAGTGTCTAATAATTTTCGTAAAATTACGTGATTATCCTTGATCATGGCAGGTAACTCAAACAGTGCTTTCACATGTCTCCCGATAATCAATCCTGGATCGTCGTATCTCTCCATCAACATTGTCCATGCTTCTCTGTAATTCTCCGCCGATGCCTCTAAAGAACTCACTACATCGTGCGCTTCTCCTTTAAGTGACGACATCAAATACTGCATTTTCTGCACGTCAGGCAACACGGCATTCTGCTCTATCATGCTAATAAACATATTACTAAATGAGTGCCATTCCTCATATTCTCCAGAGAATGTTGGTAAATCCACGCGAGGTAATTTTAGGTGATCGCTTACCGAGGATCCTCCAATGGTAAATGGGGTCGCTTCTCTTACCTGGCGATCCTGCGTATGCGGTGAGCGAGTTGCCACTAGCCTTTCTTTCTCCTCTATTAACGATTCTAAGGCAGCTGATATTGTGAAATACCTATTTTCGAAGGCTGTCCTTTCCTCCAATTGATTCTCACTAACCTGTTCTGCATCTTTGGCAGCCTCGATTTTGGCTTGTACTTCGTTGAACTCGTCCCATGTGCTATTGAATTTCTGTAATCGAGTACGCAACTCAATCACGGATGTGCTTCGACAGTCGTCACCGTCTAAGAACGTCTGAACCCTCGTGCATTGCGATTTTATCGTCGCACGTCGTTGTATTAAGGCTCGTTGATTAACGTCGGTTGCGAGTGACATGTTGTATCACTATGTACCTCAATCTTCGTTGTTAAATACGTCTCGCTTCCCCGAAACTAATGACGCAAATGTATCTCACGACACTACTTCGGTATAGCGCTCGAATGTTCTCGGTGCTTCTCGACTTAGGTTAGAACGTCCGCTTTTCACGTTTCGCTCTTCAAATGCGTTTCTCGTATGTCCAGCCGTCCGTGGCTGGATCCGGCTCGAAGGACCAAAATAATATGTTGATGATTTAAAGAATGTAACCATGTATTGCGGATTACAAAAGTCTTTATTCGTACACGTAAATTTCTTGCGACCGTTACAATGTGTCTCTACTCAGATTCTGATTCTCTACGAGAACGTGCGGTAGGACCGGAAACTAGTAACTAGTAACTAACGCTCATCGCGCCGTCGGTGTCGCTCTAACTAACTATTACCGAGAAATATCTAATTCGGAACGCTTGAATATTAACTCCCGTAACACGGGAATAATATAAAAGATATACAAAGTATTATACCGCTACGTACATTTCCATCTGGACGCTGAATAGAAGAATATAGTATGTTTATTTAAATTGATAATATTAATACAAAAAT